GGCGTGTTAGGGAAGTTTATACAGAGTGAAACATGGGCCTTGGGGATACCACACACAGAGAAATTTTAGGAACTATCAAATGCATTAATGAATATTCCCTTGAAGAATTTCTAACACCTAAGAGACTTTTTCTTCCTTTTTGTGAAGAGATAGGTTATATGGAACTTGTTGGTAGTGGGAGGTGGCTCTTAGTTCAGGCAGGATTCTCACTCACCTGTGGTTATTTGAAACACTTTTTCATTTGTTCAGTCAGTGATGACTAACATGGGTCAATGGATCAAGAGGTAATTTTCTGAGAGCATAGGTAATCCTAGGTTGTATAAAAAAAATTGGGGGGGAAATGGAGAAGAAAAGAGAGAGAAAAATCAGGATGGGCTTGTTAGCTTTGCTGCAGAGTGTGTGAGTGCAGTGATGGGATCTGGCTGCAGATCTGGTGGTGGGGCTGTCTGAAAAGCAGCCCAACCAAGCAGACCAATGAGTGCTAAGGGCAGGGATCACAGGCAGGGCTGGCCAGGGCTTGGGAGGACCAGGACTCTGCTTTCTTCCTACAGGCAAAGCCAGCTCAGAGGGAAAGAAATACTTCAGTTTGGGCAACTTCATTCCCTGCTCCATGGGTTTGCATAGCGTTGTCTCTATGGGATTCTAAAGGGAAAAAGGAGCCACAGAAACAAATAAGAAAATGTTCTCATCGATTTCCAAACTCTACAGCATGAATTCCCCCAATAAACTCTTAATTTAGGCTTACACCCTCCCTCTCTTTTGTAAATATAATAGACCTGAATTGGGAATAGGGATCTAATATTTGCCCAGATGTCAGCTCAACATGGGCTCTGGCTGTTTAGGGAGATTTGACCACTGGTACATTTGAATCTTCCCCAAATAAGCTCTATTACACTGGCCTTCTTTAGACTACAGGTGTGGGCAAAGGTAGGTTTACAGTTGTGCATATAGAAAGACATGCAGGAAATGATTATTACAATAGTGTTATTAACTCAAAAGAATATCATAATGCAACTGTAAACCTACCTTTGCCCCACCCTAAATATACTCATGCAGAGGAAGGATTCTAAATCCTAAAACTGGTGAGTGAAAGTGAGGAATCAGGCAGGGAGAGGAGGCCCCAAGTGTGTGAGTGCAGTGATGGGATCTGCATCAAACCTTCTGTCTAAACCTTCTGTCACAGTTTGTAGAATGGGAACTTCTACAAGGACTAAATATAATGTAAATCCCATTACTAGGATGCTGAATGGACTGTGAGGTTTAATTGACATGTGTTTTTTAATAGTTGCCAGGCATTTAGGGAAAAGTCTTTTTGCATGACCCCCACCTCCACATTGTTGTTGGTTTTAAAAATTAATTTTATTGAGGTATAATTGACATATAGTATTATATTAGTTTCAGGCATACAACATTATGATTAAATATTTGTATATACTGCAAAGTGACCACCACAGTAAGTCCAGTTACAGTCACTATATGGTTCCAGAAGGTTTTCTTGTGATGAGAACTTTTAAAATTTATTCTCTTAGCAACTTTCAAATAGGCAATAGTTTAATTAACTGTAGTCACCATGCCGTATATTACACCCCCATGACATTTATTTTATAACTGGAAGTTTGTATGTTTTGACCTCCATCACCCATTTCTCCCACCCTCAAGCTCCCACCTCTGGCAACCACCAATCTGTTCTCTATATCTATGAGCTTGGTTCTTTTGTTTTTTTATTATTATTTATTTTTTTATATATATCTTTATTGATTTCAGAGAGAGGAAGGGAGAGGGAGAGAGAGATAGAAACATCAATGATGAGAGTCATTGATTGGCTGCCTCCTGCACACCCCCCACTGGGGATCCAGCCTGAAACTGAGGCATGTGCCCTGACCAGGAATCGAACAGTGATCTCCTGGATCATAGGTCGATGCTCAACCGCTGAGCTATGCCCGGCTAGGCTTGTGTTGTTTTTTTAGATTCCACATATAAGATCATACAGTACTTGCCCTTCTCTGACTTATTTCACTTAGCATAATGCCCTCAAGGTCCATCCCTGTTGTCACAAATGTCAAGATTTCATTATTTTTATGACTGAATAATATTCCATTATATATGTATGTATAATTTTCTTTCTCCATTCATTCATTGATGGACACTTAGGTTGTTTCTATATCCTGGCTATTGTGAATAACACTACAGTAAATATGGGGATGCCACCTATTAACCTTGTTCTAAAATTCTAGTTTCACTCCCCTGCCTTAGGAATTGGTGATGGAACTGGGATCTCCTAGTTGAGGAGTAAGGCTGGCAGGAACGTAGAGTGTTCCATCACCCCCAGGCAACATCACTTTCCATTTGAAATCCAGGACCTGTAGCTAGACCAGGGTTAGCTAACAGTGTCCTGAATTAAGAAAGGTTGGAGGGTGGGGGAAGGTTGATATATACAGAATTGACAATGGAATATGCCTCTTTCCCTCCAAACTGTTGGCTGGGCAAAAATTGAGTTTTAATAAATTTGAACCTAGTTTGGCTAACCTTTCCTTAGCATTAAAGGCTAAAAAACATCAAAGCAGCCTCCAGAGCGTCAGCAACTCTCATGTCCCAGCAAGACAAGTGATAAATGCAACTGGCCCCCTTGCTAGAGCACCATTTTAACTCCCAAGAAGTTTCATAGGATGAATGGTCCCTATAGTCAGCCTTGAAGGAAAGCTTCTGTCTAAAAATCCAATGTGCTCCTCTTGATTAGTTACTTCAGGATCAAGATGGGCTTTTCAAATAGGGGGTTGGTTCCCTCAGTATGACTTTGAAAGGGGTTGAGCTTTTACCATGCTCAGCTTTCCCTATCGCCAGAGTGACACTTTCTCTAATGAAGAGGGAGTGGAACAGCTGGACAGCTGACAGTCTGCTTTCAGGACACTAACGCTTCTTTACCCTGTTACCAGGCAAAGCATTAACAGCAAGGGCACAGTGCAATTCACTGGTTAGCTCTGCATCCAAGACCTGGGAAATAATTAAAGAATATTAAAGGTGGGAGGATAGAAACAAAGCAATAAGCCCAGTCGGGAGCTTGGCACATAGTCTTCTCTCACAAGGGCGAGCTGAAGTTAGGGAGCACAGCATTCACTTTCCTAAGATATTTTAGCAATAAAGAAATAGCTTCTCCCAGTGTGATTTAAAATCTCAATAGCACATAGATTTGCATGTTGTGTATTTCCATTATGACATTAACTGTTCCATATACTAAACCAATACCTTTTTCCTCCAATTGAAGATTCAGTTTAAGTATAGAAGGGCCAAGTGTTGGAGACATCAGAGGGCTTTAATTCTCAAAAATATGTCGCCTGTTGCCATGGGTCACCCTGTCATCATCTTGGATGGGCGCTATAATGACATTTTTGTTCTGGAGCCCAATTGGAATTGGGTCCTCTGGTGCCACTGCAGCCCAGAATACCCATGGCGCCCAAGCCATTCTTGCCTCCTCCACTTGTGCTTTCCTTTGGCTTGGATTTGACCTGGCATGGGTCCCTACCTTCTAAGGTATATATATATATATATATATATATTCTATGACAGTTTTCCAAAGTATTTTTCTGCCAAGATTCAGATTTTTCATAGCGCATCATCAAGAGCAGTTTGCCAATTCCTTATAAAATGAAGTGAATAAATGAAAAAGTCATTGTGTTTTATAGGGCATGTTTTTGTATTTTCAGTAAAGATGTGAATTCTCTGCATACATATTTTTATGTATCAAGTGGGGCTAGTAGTGTATGAATAGAAACTGCTGGGGGAAGGCAACGAGGCCTGTTTTCATGAGGTGACATCCCTGAGTCACTACCAATAGGCCCTACACTTCTTGGATATATATATGTGCAAAATGGGGCCAGGTAAATCCCTAGTGAGAGAATACTGTGTTTCAAGTAAGGGTAGAGTTCCACTCATGCTAAGGAGCTCAGACACAATCCTGAACTCTAAAGAAATTTTCTTAAGAAACTACTCATAGATCTTTATGGGAAAGTGGCATCCAGACATTCATCTAGTATGCTCCAAATTCTGTCCACTGCCCTCCATTTTTGTGAAGAGTACAGGGGACCAGAAAGCATTCTGGCCAAAGGTCATGCTGCTTCAAAGGAAACAAGAGGAAACTCCATCAAGGCCATAAAGACTCTCTTCCCACTTTCCTTCCCTTCTCCCCTGCCCCACCACAGGGACAATACTGTTGTGCCTTCCCCAGCTCCAAAGTGACGATGACACCTTCAAATGTATATCTGTTTCATTCAACATCCTCGAGAGGACCCTGGTTCTTGGTGATTACACTAAAAGCAAACCTTTGACTTAGTGCTGCTGGAAGCAGAAGGAGATGGTCCCCTGATTAATATTCCAGATTAATGGATCATTGAAAAGACACAGTCAGATCTTGTTTTTTTTTTCATGTGGTCTTTATCACGTGAAACTGCTAGGCTAGAAAACAACAAAAATAAAAATGGAGTCTGATAAGAATTGAGGAATTACTGTTAAACATTTAAGGCAGTGTAATGGTATTGTGGTTATGTTTAAAAAAGAAAGAATATCCACCTTTTATTTTTTTAAATATATCTTTACTGATTTCAGAGAGAGAAAGAGAGAGGGAGAGAGAGAGAGAAACATCAATGACGAGAGAGTCACTGATCGGCTGCAGCCTGCAGCCCGCAACCCGGGCATGTGCCCTGACCGGGAATCGAACCCCCATCGCCTGGATCCTAGGTCGACGCTTAACCACTGAGCCACGCTCGGCCGGGCAAGAATATCCACCTTTTAGAGAAACAGGCTGAATTGTTTTAAATGAAATGATATCTGAGATTTGTTCCAAAATTAATTGGGGAGCCATGGGAACTTCCCACAAGTTGATAATTTTTCAAGTAGGGTGATGTGTACATGGGCGATCATTACACTGCTCTCTGTACATTTCTATATATTTGATATTTGCCATAATAACAATTAAAGAAAAAAACCTGGCCATCTGTGTTTCTTCCTTCTTCTCGGCTCTTTAAAAATTTCCTTTTGTATCTTGATCTGCAAATTAAAAACACATACAATTAAAAAAACTTACACCTAAACATTAATACCTTTGAGCAGATAAATATGCTTTTGCTGTCCCATTTGTTGTTACAGAGAAATTCATTTGTTCAAACACTTATGTCAGGAACCATGCTTGGCACTGGGAACAAAGAACTTCAAGTCACATTAGGTATAACATTCAAAGAAGAATTAACACCTATCCTTCTCAAACTATTCCGAAAAATTCAAGAGGAGAAAAGACCCCAGAGCTCATTTTACAAGGCCAGCATTATCCTAATTCCAAAACCAGATAAAGACAATACAAAGAAAGAAAATTATAGGCCAATATCCCTGATGAACATAGATGCTAAAATCCTCAACAAAATATTAGCGAACCGGATCCAGCAATACATAAAGACCATACACCATGATCAAGTGGAATTTATTCTGGGGATGCAAAGTTGGTACAATATCCAAAAATCAATAAGTGTGGTACACCACATAAAAGGAAGGATAAAAACCACATAATCAGACACTACATCAAGAAGACATAACATTTCTCAATGTACATGCGCCCAATCAGGGAGCACCTAAATATATAAAGCAATTACTTACAGAACTAAAGGGAGGCAACTGATTGATGTTTCTTTCTCTCCCTTTCTCCCCCCCCCTCTAAAAAAATTAATAAAGCCCTGGCCAGAGTGGCTCAGTTGGTTGGGCATCATCCCATGCACCAAGAGGTTGCTGGTTTGATTCCCATCAGGCCACATGCCTGGGTTGCGGCTCGATCCCAGGAACGGGGCATGCAGGAGGCAGCCAATTGATGTTGCACTCTCACATCGATATTTCTCTCTTCTCTCTTCCTCTCTCTCTAAAAATCAACAAACTATTCTTTAAAAAAAAAAAAAAGTCAATAAAAACATATCCTCGGGTGAGGATTAAAAAAAAAAAAGAGCTCTGGATTTTAAAAATACCTACTTAAGTAGAAGCTGAAGTGGTGCTTTTCTTTGAATCTTCATCCTCTACTGGTGTGTGTTCATCAGCTGAATTTAAAGAAGATAGTTATAAAAATTAGAAACATGAACCATGAAATATAAAAATGTAGAATTAAACATTTTCAGTAATGATGCTGACTGTCCAAGAACCATTAAAAGTCAACACTGGAATAACTTTTAAGAGTACAATTCAATAGCCTACCACCTTCATAATAATATAATAATTATTTACACTTACATAATGCTTTAGAGTTTACGAAGTGCTATTCAAACTGAAAGTAGCTCATAAGATTTATATTTTCAGAAGAAACCTCAGAGCAAATGTAGGGAACTATAAGGAAAGATGAAAAAGAGTAGAGATAAGAGCAAGAAGAACCTCACACACTACAGTATAAACACATTTCATTCTGTTGTAGAGAATTCTGAAAATGAGTTATTAAAATTCTATGAGTTTAAAAATGGAATTATCATATCATATAATCTTTTCCTCCAGAGATCACATTTGGAAAACTTAGGTATCACCTGGAAAATTATTTTTGGGTTCCTTCTAACTCTAATTCTATTTCAGGTTGTCATAAGGATATCTGTAAGAACCAGTTTCTGATAATAATGCTTTATCACTCTGTCACAAATTATGAGTTTGCCTGTGAAGCACATTGTCTCAACTCAGCCTAAAGTAGACACAGCAGCTTATGAATAGCACCAAAGAGCCAAAGAGAAAAGAAATAAAAGAAGCATTAAGGTTTCAGATAATATTAGATATAGGAAAATTAAGTAAACAAAACCATTCTTTGTAATGCTAAAATCTGACATGCAATCTGCCATTAGGTTAGCTGAGAAAAAAATAATTAAAAAAATATAAATGTATTATTTGTTTTAACAGTGAACCCTTCTATGAATAAGAAATTAGCATCCCATGGATTATAATTTAGAGAGCACAATTAGCATGGTAAAATCCACTAGAAACATTCTTAGGTATGTTTCATGTTTTTAAAACTTAAGGGATATAAGAGGATAAATCACAGGGAAGAAGAAAAATGTGAGATGTATTTAAAGCTCTTCACTTAATAAAAATTTTAGCAATAGATTCTGGACTTAACAAATGCTATCAAATTTTTAAAATATATTTTTTAACAAATTACTCTGGTTCAGGATTGTATTAGCTAGGCTGCCATAACAAAATACCACAGATGGGGCGGTTAAACAACAGAAATTATTTTCTCACTGTTCTGGAAGTTGGAAGTTGAAGATTAAGGTACCATCAATGTTAGTTTCTGGTTAGGCCTCTCTTCCTGGCTCGTAGACTCTTTTCTTCTCCCTGTGTCCTCATGTGGTATTTCCTCTGTGCACACCTGGTGGAGAGGAGGGGAAAGAGATCTATCTCTGGTGTCTCTTCCTTTTTTAATAAGGATACCAATCCTTTCAAATTAGGGCCCCATCCTTATGCCATCATTTAACCTTAATTACCTCTTTAAAGGCCCTATTATCAAATGGTCACTTTGAAGGCTAGGCTTCAACATATGAATTTGGGGGTGGGGTTCACAATTCGGTCTATAACCAGGATTCTTTGGAGAAAATCCTCATACTTCAGGAGCTCCTAATTTTCCAATCTTCTCTCAGTCTCCTAGAAAATACAGTCATGTCAGTAATTCAATGGCTGAATTGTTTCATCCATTCATATATATGTGTGTGTGTATGTGTGTGTCTATATATTTTATATGTGAAATTCAATAGATCTAGTTAAGTCCAAGTATCCCTTCACATTTTTAATTTTTAAAAAAATATGTCTATTGATTTCAGAGAGAGGAAAGGAGAGGGGAGAGAGAGAGAATCACCAATGATTAGAGTTGTCATTGACTAGCTGCCTCCTGCACAGCCCTGACTGGGGATCGAGCCCGCAACCTGGGCATGTGCCCTGAATGGGAATCAAACTGGGATCTCCCGTATCCTAGGTGGATGCTCAACTGCTGAGCCACGCCCTGCTGAGCCCTTCACATTTTAAACTTTAAATTAATAAAACTTGGTATAAATGTCAACTCAATATTTAGGATTTGATGTTCTGATAGCAAATGGTACAGGCTATAGACAGCCTGAGAGGCTAGACCAGAAATGCAGGCTGAGAGCCTGTAAGTGGATCCTTTCTGCTGCGTACATGACATAGCTCCCAACTGCTCATGTGAGAGAAACAGTTTTACACTGGGAAATAACTGCATTTGTTTATAGACATGTATAAAAGAAAAAAGAAGTCTGTTTCTGTTTGGTTAAAACTTTAGTTTTCAGAAACCCAGGAATTAGTAAAGTCAGTTTTTAAAAAATGAAGCACTAGAAGTAGTAGAAAATAAATGGAGCTCTGAAAAGTTCCATGTGACAAAAATTGAATTCTATGAGATTCAGGGTTTCTTTTCTGTTTTTCCTTTAGTTCCTTTGTCATTTTTTATTTTAATCTTTGTGGTTACTCATAACTGAAAACAAACAACTGGGGCTCAATTCCCCAAAGTTTAGCTGTTTATATCTCTACTTGTGTTTTTTTTTTTTTTTTAAATCTTTACAAAATAAATATATTTGGTTTCATTGTTTGAATAAATTTATTTTTAACTTCTTTGTTCATGGGAAAAGATACATTTATGCAAAGTTGGAACTCAGAGAGTCTCCTACTTCAAGAAGCAGGCACTCTCCTCCCCCGGTCTCCATCTAGGAGCGGCCTCCCACAGTCTGCTCTGCAAAGGAGCTCCTTGGCCTAACGCCCTGGTCCCTGCCACCTGTGATTGTGCATCTTGATTGAGCATCACGTTAGAGGCTCGCAAGGAAGCAGCCTGGTGACCAGCCCGCCAAAGCAATGCAGGGCTCCAATCCTGAGTGGCCACCACCAGCCACCAAACTTCCAGAGGCGCTAGGCTCTTTGGAGCACCTCCCCCACCCCTCCTC